ACACAAGGCACTGGACTAGATTCCCGTAAGATAATAAATAAAGAATCAAGCAGCTTAGCATCTAGTTGGGAAAATAAGACATACAGTGGAAAAGTTAAATAACAGTGCCCAACAGTATATGTCCAAATGCCAAGTGAGTGGTGTAGTCGGTGAATAAACTTTAAGATATAAAGAGGAGAGAGCCATCTCCATTGGCTTCTGCAGCGGGAGCATGCCTTAGAGGGCCAGAGAGCTGACATAAAGGGGTCATCTTCTAAAACTTCTGATTTCAGAAGGGTGAAAATTTGAAATTTTATTTGAAATCTCCTGATTTAGAAATGTTGATTAATAGTTCAAACTTTCAAAAACTTCAGTGTGGTTCCCACTGTGTGGGCAAGATGGAACTTGTCTGAGAGCTGAATTGGGATTCTGAGTCAGTGGTGTGCATCTGATGGATGGCTTAATGCATTGGGGGAGAAGTTGGAGGCAAAGAACATTAAGATCCCTCCCAATTAAAAGATTCCAGTGTTCTAATATTTCACTCATGTATCAGGGCTTAGAAGGGGGCAGTGGGCATGAGAAGAAGGAACAGAGGAGAGAGATTAGAGAATATTAATAACAATACCCTACATTTATATACTAGTTTATGGTCTGCAGAGTTTGTCATTGGAAGCTAGGTAGAAGAGAGGCTCAGAGCAGAGGCTCTGAAGTCAGACTGCCTGGGTTCAAATCCCAGCTCTACAATGAATTGCTGGTGAGGCCTTGGACAAGTCAACAAACCTTTCCCAGCCTCAGTTTCTCAAACACTAAAAGGATGGATGCTAATAAATTCACTTGTCTCATAGAACTGTTGGCTGATTAAACAATAAAATGTGTAAGATGCCCTTAGTACATTAAGCCTGGATCACAGGAATCACTTTTTGCTATTATCACACATACATAGTCTCTCTTTAATCCTTTCAACAGCCCCATGTTACAGTGAGAAGAATGCATGGGATGGTTGACTGGATGTAGAGGTGGGAGGTAGGGAATGGAGAAGTCAGGAGCAATGGCCAGAGAGTGAACATTTGGTTTGTAGACTCAGCTCCATTGCTGAAACTAACTCTGGGTTTCTGGACCCTTCACTTAACTTCATAAAGAATGGTTCGTTGCAACTCATTTCTTCATCATTTAACAAAAACTGGATTTCTCAGTATGGTAGGAAATAATGATCCCCCAGAAATGTCCTTGTCCCAATGTCTGGAACCTGCAAATATGTTATCTTACATGGCAAAAGGGACTTTGCAGATGTGATTCAAGTTAAGGACTGTGAAATGGGAGATTATCGTAAAATTGCCTGGGTGGGCCCAATGTAATCACCAGAGTTCTTAACACATTGTGGACCAGTGACGTAGATTTGCGTCTATATATTTAAATGCCCTGTTGTGTGTTAAAAGTGGAAGAGGAAGGCAGACAAGTGAGTCAGAGGGATGCCGCATGAGGACTCCCCACTCCATCCCATTGTTGCTAGTTTTCAAGGTGAAGAAATGAGGCATGAGCCAAGGTATGTGGGTGGCCTCTAGAATTTGGGAACGGCCTTCAGTTTACAACCAGCAAGAAAATGAGGCTCTCGGTCCTACAACCACAGCAGAACACAGGTTCTCCGCTAGAGCCTCCAGAAAGGAATGCAGCCTATCGACAGAGCTCGAACACAACAAATTTATGTTGTCTTAAACCACTAAGTTCATGGTAATTTGTTACAGCAGCAACAGGAAACCAATACACTGAAGTTTACAGTTTAAATTATTTGGCTGGTGTTACCAGCAATACTGTCAAATTCAGGAACTGATCAGGTATGGAAAAGATGTGGAGTGATGAGGGATGAGCTCTTAGATATATGGAGTTGGAGAGGCAATGACAGTAAGACATTCACGTGGCAGCGCTTCAACCACACTTGGCCGTGTGGGATTGGAGTTTGGGAGGTGGTTGCAATAACTTTGCAAGTAAGTTCCAGGGATGCAATGTAGGGAAAGAGACTCCATCGAGGGGGCCAGTTTCTTGAGTTTCCAGTTCCTCTGTTTGGCTTCCATTCTAAGCTTATGCATGCCAAACTCCTGCTCATTTTAATTGGAATATATGGACTTTGTTTTAAGAAAACCACTAGGGAGCCATACTGAGTAAATTTTATAGACACATCAGAATAATTTTATTTATTGACTTAAATCAAGACTTCAATAAATGAATAATGCTTTAAAATTTGCTCTTTGAAGGTTTCCAAAGGAAAATCTGAAAAATTTAACTGTTTTTCCTTTCGTTGTTTATGAATCTTTTTAACAATGGAAATGTTTTGTCTTCTAAGAGTGGCATGGAACTCAAATATATGACTCACTAGAAATGACGACCACCTCTTTGGTTGTAACAAATGGGAAGTGAGTTAGGAGAGAGCCCAAGAGAAACAGAAACTGATACTCAGGAAAATGTAAGGCCCATGGGGACATCTCTATGTTGAACCAGGAGGAGTGATGTGGAGCACCATAATGAGAGGCAGAAAAAGTGAATAAAATGTTAGTCACTGAGCAATCAGGCCCCTAGAAAAGAGAAAAAAAATGCAAAAGGAAAAAATGGGGACAGAAACAGTTTTAAAATCTCTAACTTCTATTTACCAGACTCCCTCCCTTCATCAGTGTGGATCACTGCTGGGAGCCCTGTAGGTCCCATGATAGAAGAGGCTAGCTCTGCCTGTAGGGTGAGCTGGTCTAGCTCTTGCTCTACATTTTGATCAGGTTTTACCTCTTGATTGTGAGTCCATGCCTGTCAAACTTGTTTACCCAGAGATGGCCAACCAATTTTGTGGTTTTCCCAGGAAACTTGCTTCTCTGCTCTGGCTCTCCTATTACCCTTGACTTGTCCATTTCCTCTAACATCTAAGAAAGAGGTGAAACTCCAATCAGCCCCCTTCTCCATGGGTACATAGCTCTGGTCAAAGGATTTAGCTGTGGAGAAGGCTGGGACCATTGGTGGCTATGGTCAGCCACTGGGCACAATTGCAAAGAAAGCAGTATTAGCCTCTGTCACCCATCAAAATCACTTTCCATCCCTCAGTGCCTTCATGCTATTCCCTGTTTGTGCCACATTCCCACCCTACTCCATTTCATCTGCCCACACTGATAGTGTTATTTTCAAAGTAGCCCATATTGAATATTGATTCTTCCCAGTACTTTTCAATATGGCTCAGTAAGACAGGTCTTTGCTACATGATTAGAAGAATTCAGCCTATTGGAATTAATTCATACTAAAGTGTGAATGACTGATTTCCCCTTAGTGCTCCCAAGTGTGTTTTAAAAGTTAAACTCCTGTTTGATTGGTGGAATATTAAAGTAACATGAGGGACATATTGAAGGACAAAGACTAAAAAGAGTCAATTCCAATTAAATTAGGGCAATCAAGGGATTAACCTAACCACTCTGCATACACTGAGGAAAAATTAGTTTATAAATAGTTATCAGGTTATACTGTCATGAGAAAAACCAGGTTATAAATAGTTTGTATGATATGATGTTTATCATACATATAAATACATATATACACACATGCATATATTCATTTATCTATATACAGTTGACTCTTGAACAACATGGGTTTGAACTAACTGCTGGGTCCACTTATAGGCGGATGTTTTTCAACAAATACTGTAAATGTATTTTTTCTTCCTTTGATTTTCTTAAAACATTTTCTTTTCTCTAGCTTATAGTAAAAATACAGTATATAATACATATAACATACAAAATATGTGTTATCAACTGTTTATCGGTAAGGCTTCCAACCAACAATAGGCTATTAGTAGTTAAGTTTTTGGGGAGCCAAAAGTTATACTTAGATTTTCGATTGTGTGGGGAGGGGAGTGGAGGGGTTGGTGCCCCTAATCCCCACTTTATTCAAGGGTCAACTGTATATATGTAGATATACATATAGAGAAAAGAATATATGCCAATATGTTAATGTCATGTATCTGTAGGTGGTGAAATTATAAGTAGTTTTAATTTTCTTCTTTTTGTTTATCTATAATTTCTAAAGTTTCTCCAGTAAGTGTGTACTGCTTTTCATAGAGAAAAAATAGAATTACTTTTCTTTTAAGGAATCTAAGTATCCTCCCAAAATAAATAACACAGCAGTTCTTGTAGTTTATACACCCAGAGGCATCTGATTTAGTTTAACTCATAAAAAAGAAATGGCTTGGGCCGGCCGAGTGGCGCGATGGTTAAGAACTGGCTTGGGATGCCAGAGGGCCCTGGTTCCGATTCCACATATGAAGGCCAGTGACACTGCCCTCTACAGCTAAGATGCTGAACAACAGCTCAACCTGGAGCTGGGCTGCCGTGAGTCGCCGGCGACGGCTAGGCTGCAGCCCCTGTGGCAGTGGGTTGTCATGGGCTACCGTATGTAGCC